GATCCTGGTAAACTGCCCAGGTTGGTCTCAGGCTCAAAATTCTCCTCCTTAGTAGCTGGGATTACAAGCGTACACCACCACACCCAACTCAAGTTTCAGCACTTTTTTGGCCTGGAGGGGGTGGGGTACCGGATATTGATCAGGATCACTCCACCACTGAGTCACATCCCCAGCCCTATTTTTGTGTTCTTTATTTAGAGACAGGTTGTCAAGGAGTTGCTTAGCACCTTGCTTTTGCTGAGGCCGGCTTTGAACTCTCAATCCTCCTGCCTCAGCCTCCCAAGTCACTGGGATTGCTGGTGTGCTCCAGCATGCCTGGCAAGCTTCAACACTTTTGATGAGGTAATTTTAACCATTTCACCACCATGGGCTGCTTTCACAATATATGAAGCCTAAGGACAACTTTCCCAAAATAATATTTATTTAAAAGACAAACTACATGAGATGTTAAAAATGTATCAGGGCTGGGGATGTAGCTAGCCTGTCTAGCATGTGGGAGGCTCTGAGCACCATCCTCAATAACACAAATGAAATGAAACATATAGATATATGTGTATGTATGTGTGTGTATGTACATGCATAATGATATATGTAGGTTCTATAATAATTCTGAAGCATATTCAATATTCCAATAATTGCGTAACAAAAGTGAAGTTATATGAAAATATTCACTATTTTTGTTGCTGGTAAGCTCAAAAATATAGCTAATACTCAATGAAAAAATTGCTGTTTTTTGAAATTGCCATGTATTAACTCAATTAACAGGCATCTATGAGTCAGTAGCCTATTTTGAGGTTACTTCCAATGATATATAAATTCATAAATTGTTTTATAAAACAATTATATACAATCAATATGAGAAAACTCTATAGACACTATGAGCCATCTCAAAATAAATAAATTCCAAAATAGCTCTAGGATTCTTTCATCAAAATATCAATAGAAAACTGAGGGGGTGGGGGAGAAAAATGAAGTATTGATTGATTTATTAGCTTTATTTTCATAACAGGGAATACCATGCCTACCAGAGAGCCAAGTGTTCATAGTTGGGAATGGTTTCAAATTAACACATTCAATAACTTTCTTAATACACTGAGATCCATGCAAGGCACCAAAAGGTATATGTAAATAAATAAATAATTTACTATCTTTAAAAAAAAAAAGATAAACAACATCTGATCCCTAACTGGGAGGAAGACAGAGGTTTATAAAGGAAAGAAGCATTTAAACAAATAATTATCACAAAATAAATTACATCATACTCCTAAACCTAGCACTCTAGGAAAATGGAAAATAGTTATAAATATTTTTAACAATCTTATATAAACACAAATATGGGATGTCAACACCAAATGGCAACATGCACTTCAAAAAAATGAAACAATTTTTAATGGAAAATCAATGACAATGATAGTGATGACTATGAAATTCTTTACATTAAATGATATGTTCTTCATATAATACAAAGTCATGAAGAGGAAAAATGTATCTCCAAATGACAAAAGCACTTGAAGTGGCATCTGAAATATACACTAATACAAAGGCAATTTGACCTAATGGATGAATATAAAAATAAGTCATGGGGCTGGGGATGTGGCTCAAGCGGTAGCACGCTCGCTTGGCATGCATGCGGCCCGGGTTCAATCTTCAGCACCACATACAAACAAAGATGTTGTGTCCACCGAAAACTAAAAAAAAATATATATATATTCTCTCTCTCTCTCTCCCTCTCTCAAAAAAAAAAAAAAAAAATAAGTCATACTGGTTACCCCAACTGGAGTGCTGTAAGTAACATAACTTTCAGAATGTTTCTTCAAATTTAACTGAATTCTCACAACGTTCAATTTCAATAAATCTTTGTCTTTATTAATTAAATCAATCCTACTGATCACCAATCACTAAAAAATTGTTCTCCATAAAAAATTACTAATTGAGTTATTAGAACGAATATTATTCAAAGTACTCTATATTACTCTCTTACCATCATTCATTATTTAAAAAAAGAAGGAAAAAATAAAGAATCTTTCCCATCAATTTCAAGTGATATGATCATTTCTGAGAGATAAGATAAAAATGGTAGGCTCCTCAGATACATCAACCAAATGGATAAGATCTGAAAAGACTATAAATTTCTAAATACTATATCAGCCATGAAAGCAAAAGAGCAATTTTATCATTTATTTAGAAACAAAGTATTTTAAAAATACCTCATTTCTCAAAACTAGAAGTATTACCAACTGCTTAACAAGCTTACTAAAAAAAAAAAAAAAAAAACTGATAGCTAAAAGAAAAAAGAAAAAAGAAGGAATTTATCAGTCTAAATATATTGGAGAACTGTGGTAAATACCTTCTTGATAAGATAATTCTTTCTTTATAGAAGACTAGCATAAGTAAATGCAGGAATATGATAGAATTAGAAACATCATTTTTCGACCTTTAATGTAATAGAACTATTAATTTAAAAGTTTTAGAACTGAGGTCAAAATAACTCTCCATAGAATACTTGCTAATTTCTACAAGGAAAAAAACCCTATCTCAAATGTATGCAGTCATTTGATGGTCACCAACTTTTCCATATGATGAAACAGAAATAGGGACATGACCTGATATGTTTCCTATTGGGATAAAAAGTTGGACATGGAAGTTCTTAGGAAGTTTAAACATAAACAAAGAAGACTAAATAGTTTTAAGCTTTTCTAGGCTAACTTACAGTTGGTAGAAGAAATACAGGAATTCTCAAAACATTATAATGAAAAACTCTGATAAATCCAGATTTTTAATAACACAAATGCTTTGGACAGTGCAAAAATAAATAAATAAACAAATAAAGGGGCTAGGGATGTAACTCAGTGGTAAAGACTGCTTGGCTAGCATTCACAGGTCCTGGGTTGCATCCCCAGCACCACCAAAAAAAAAAAAGGGGAAAAGAAAAAGGTACAAGCTATATGCTATATTAAAAGAAATTTAAAGAGACCTATAATGTAAGGAGCAAACCTTAGACCATGGTTTGAAGTAGTTACAGCAAATATTTTTGGGAAATTTTAAATCATGAATTACACTGGACAATATAAAGTGTTATTTTTCTGAGCTATAATACTGATTATATAGGAAAAGATCCTTTTTTAAGAAATGCATGATTAAATGAAACTGGATGAAATATTAGTGTATATGACATGTTTGGAAGTTGCAGGAAAACACATGTGCTTGTGCTTACACACACAGAGAAACATAAATGTGAACACCTGTTGAATCTAGATGGTAGTGGTACATGTATGACTGTTGTACTACTTTTTATTTCATTTTTCCATCTTTTCATAATAAAAAATGAAAAGTAACAGGGTACTCCACATATAGTGCTATAATACTAGTCTTTATCAAATTTCCTTAGAAAACCAGAAAAACTAAGAGCATATGCAATACAATAGGAAAATAAAAGTAAATGAGCTTATAAGTTAAAAAAAAACTTTCAAGTTACAAAGAAAATGCCATTCACATACATTAACATTCTGATTTAAAATACTGAAGCTTTTGTCATAATAATAATACAAAAATCAATGCAACTCAAGGAAGCAACTAGGAATGTAGAGAGAGAACCCACAGAATGGGAGAAGATCTTTTCTAGCTACTCTTTTGACAAAAGATTAATATCTAAAATATATAAAGAACTCAAAAAAAACTTAATGCTGAAAAAGCAAATAACCTAATTAATAACTGGGCAAACGAAATTTAAGACACTTCTCAAAAGAAGAAACACATACAGCCAATAATTATATAAAAATGTTCAATATCATTAGCAATTAGGGAAATGCAAATCAAAACCACACTAAGATTTCATGTCCTACCAGTCAAAATGGCAGTCATCAAGAATTTAGACAATAATAAATGCTGGAGAGGATGTGGAGAAAAAGAAACACTTTTACACTATTGGTGAGATTGTAAATTAGTACAACCACTATGAAAACCAGTATGAAGGTTCCTCAAAAGACTTGGTATGGAACCATCATATAACCCAGCTATACCACTCCTCAGTATTTATCCTAAAGACTTTAGCTGGGTGTGGTGGCCAGCAACCTGGGAGTCTGAACCAGGAGGCTTACAAATTCAAAAACAATCTCAGCAATGTAGCAAGGCCCTAAGCAATTTATCAAGACTATAATTAAAAACAAAAAATAAAAAAAGAGACTGTAGATGTAGCTCAGTGGTAAAGTCCCTCTGGTTTTAAGTCCCAGTATCAAAAGAAAAAAGAAAAAAAAAAAAAGGAACTAAAGTCATCATACTAAAGTAATACACATATACCCATGTTTATAGCAGCACAATTCACAATAGCCAAATTATAGAACCAGCCTAGGTGTCCATCAACAGATGAATGGATAAAGAAAATGTGGTATATATACACAATGGACTTTTAATCAGTCATAAAGAAAAAGGAAATCATGTCATTTGCAGGAAAATGCATGGAACTTGAGACCATTATGTCAAGCAAAATAAGGCAACTTGGAAGATCAAGGCTCCTATGTTTTCTCTCATATGTGGAAAAAAGGAAAAGAAATATGGGGCAGATCTCATGAAAATCAAAGGGAAATCAGTAAAGGAAAGGGAACCTTGGGTAGAAGAAGGGAAGGGAGAGGAAAGTTTTGGGGTACGATATTGGCCAACTATATTGTTATATTGTGCCCATGTATGAATATGTAACAAAAAATCTAATCATTATGTACAACTATAATGGACCATAAAAAATGTGGAAAAAAAATCAATGCAACTCAATAACACTATTTATCTACCACTGCAATTTAATCATCACTTTACTAGGAGTGAAACTATTATTCTTTGACTGGTTATAAGTTGTAAATAAATTCATTCATTCAATATACTGAGGACAACCAACATTTCTGATATACACTGACAACCTGGAGAAAAGTCATATTCCATATTTTGTATTTTCCATTTCCAAAATACTTGGCTGGAAAACTCATGAAATAAATGGCAAAATAAAAACTTACCACTTGTATTAAAAGCCATACAGCACACTGGCTTCTCGTGGGCAGGAAAGTGGGCCACAATGCCATCACTGTCAGAATCTTCACTCACTAGCACCTTCAGAAAAGAAAGAAAGACAAAAGGAGGTTAATATTTTTTACACAATAACTGAGCTTGAAGACTATAAATAGCTACATCTCAATATCCCTAACCAAATAACATACTTTCACTATTTTGGAAAATTATTCTTATCAATATGAGAATTCCACTTAAGAAATGAGAAGATAAAACATGCCCTGATGGGTATACAGCAGAATTTTACAAAACCTTTAAAGAACAACTAATACCAATACTTTTCAAGCTACTTCAGGAAATAGAAAAAGAGGGAGAACTTCCAAATTCATTCTATGAGGCCAACATCACCCTGATACCTAAACCAGACAAAGACACTTCAAAGAAAGAAAACTACAGACCAATATCTCTAATGAACCTAGATGCAAAAATCCTCAATAAAATTCTGGCGAATCGGATACAAAAACATATCAAAAAAATTGTGCACCATGATCAAGTAGGATTCATCCCTGGGATGCAAGGCTGGTTCAATATACGGAAATCAATAAATGTTATTGACCACATCAATAGACTTGAAAATAAGAACCATATGATCATCTCGATAGATGCGGAAAAAGCATTCGACAAAGTACAGCATCCCTTTATGTTCAAAACTCTAGAAAAACTAGGGATAACAGGAACATACCTCAATATTGTAAAAGCAATCTATGCTAAGCCTCAGGCTAGCATCATTCTGAATGGAGAAAAACTGAAGGCATTCCCTCTAAAATCTGGAACAAGACAGGGATGCCCTCTCTCACCACTTCTGTTCAACATAGTTCTCGAAACACTGGCCAGAGCAATTAGACAGACGAAAGAAATTAAAGGCATAAAAATAGGAAAAGAAGAACTTAAATTATCACTATTTTCAGATGATATGACTCTATACCTAGCAGACCCAAAAGGCTCTACAAAGAAACTATTAGAGCTAATAAATGAATTCAGCAAAGTGGCAGGATATAAAATCAACACGCATAAATCAAAGGCATTCATGTATATCAGCGACAAATCCTCTGAAATGGAAATGAGGACAACCACTCCATTCACAATATCTTCAAAAAAAATAAAATACTTGGGAATCAACCTAACAAAAGAGGTGAAAGACTTATACAATGAAAACTACAGAACCCTAAAGAGAGAAATAGAAGATCATCTTAGAAGATGGAAAAATATACCCTGTTCATGGATAGGCAGGACTAACATCATCAAAATGGCGATATTACCAAAAGTTCTCTATAGGTTTAATGCAATGCCAATCAAAATCCCAACGGCATTTCTTGTAGAAATAGAGAAAGCAATCATGAAATTCATATGGAAAAATAAAAGACCCAGAATAGCAAAAACAATGCTAAGCAGGAAGTGTGAATCAGGCGGTATAGCGATACCAGACTTCAAACTATACTACAGAGCAATAGTAACAAAAACAGCATGGTACTGGTACCAAAACAGGCGGGTGGACCAATGGTACAGAATAGAGGACACAGAAACCAATCCACAAAGCTACAACTATCTTATATTTGATAAAGGGGCTAAAAGCATGCAATGGAGGAAGGATAGCATCTTCAACAAATGGTGCTGGGAAAACTGGAAATCCATATGCAACAAAATGAAACTGAATCCCTTTCTCTTGCCATGCACAAAAGTGAATTCAAAATGGATCAAGGAACTTGATATCAAATCAGAGACACGCCGTCTGATAGAAGAAAAAGTTGGCTACGATCTACATTTGGTGGGGTCGGGCTCCAAATTCCTCAATAGGACACCCATAGCACAAAAGTTAATAACTAGAATCAACAAATGGGACTTACTCAAACTAAAAAGTTTTTTCTCAGCAAAAGAAACAATAAGAGAGGTAAATAGGGAGCCTACACCCTGGGAACAAATCTTTACTCCTCACACTTCAGATCAAGCCCTAATATCCAGAGTATACAAAGAACTCAAAAAATTAGACAATAAGAGAACAAACAACCCAATCAACAAATGGGCCAAGGACCTGAACAGACACTTCTCAGAGGAGGACATACAGTCAATCAACAAGTACATGAAAAAATGCTCACCATCTCTAGC